TAATATTTTGAGACTTGAGTAGCCTTCTTACGAATATTTGAATATTTTCATATGTTTTTGAGTTTATCAATAATTGAGGAAATTTAGTTAATCTTTGAGTTTAGAGTTCTTGTTGTTGAGTAATATCTTCCCCTTAGTAGTAATCAAGTCAACAAGGATTTATTTGGAATCATTGTTGGTTAGTTCTAAAGTGTCGGCCATGTCCACGGTGTAGGATCGAGACATGATAGATGGGGAGGGAATACATTTCACTAATGAAAACCTATACAATAGTTTGACTTTTTAAAGGTAATATGATTTAATATACACAGACAACATCTCACAATAAAATATATAAATAAATATATTATATAAATATTATATGCGTGTCGCGTGGTAACATTTGATAGAGACAAGACCACAATTAAAATACATTCTCTCACAATCATTTTCACGTTATATCAAACACATAATGCATTGATTTTATTGTTTGTATTGAGGTAGAGTTGAATTTTATTTAGTTGCTTATTTCTATATGATCCTTATAAATTCTACTCACCACATGCAGCTTGCTTACTTATCTTTTTAAACTCCCTTGATGAAAATCATGTCCCTGCCTTAAAGTTTGTAATATTTGCAATACTTTTGAATGTATTATATTATATTTTTTTCCCCATGTTTAAATGATTCAGCAGAAGATGTCTTGTTAACTCCAACATTTACCTGTTTTGTAAATTCTTCAATAAGTTGATTTCAACCTTTACCATACACAGCAAGGCTAGCTTTGCTTATTATAGCTACGTCAGCATTTAATAGTTTTAACACTGCATTGCACATCGTAAAAAAGGAATTCTTCAACGAAAATGTTAGGCGATAGGGATTGAAAAGAGGTCCATGCTAAGGCAGTACTACTTTCTGCCTTTCGGTTGATCTATGTTTACCACTTTAGAGGTCATATATGATAGTATATCCATATTTATCCTCCAAAATCTATTCCTATTTTTGACATGACATGCACGTAATATTCCATAGTAGATAGGGGAAATAGGATGTGTCTATCACTCAAGTATCCTACCTTAAATTCTGCCTTAAATCTCACACCGTAATGAACAAATTTTTCAAATTTCTTATCGTTCTGACAAGCCATATGAAAATTTTCCAATTATGGCAAACGGTAAATTTTCTTCTACCTTACAGGTCTGCTTTCCATGGATGTAGGTAATATCTTTTATAGGGATAGGCATTGTGATTTTGTCTTCTACTTTATTAAGAATTGTTACACAGGTCAATTGGGGTTTTGGTGGATTTTCATCAGCACGGAGTGTAGGCCAGGCATCGCTGGCGTCGTCCATTACACCTACAGGCTAATTTATTCTAGGAAAGCTTAGGGTTTTAATGTGAATTCCTCTAGTAACTCAACACTTATGTAATACCAAATTATGGTAACACATAGGTTGGGTAGAGACAAGAAGAAAATATCCTAATTAGCACAAAGTTCATATAATAAGTTGCAGAAACATCCCAAAACCGAGAAAATAATATTTATTCATTTGGTAGAATATAGGAGAAACAGTCCATGTATTTGTATGTTATTGTTTAGTACTATATTTTGTAGAAATTTAGGGCCTATGTATAACAAACTCATGGATTATTTATACATCATACATGTTATAGGATGTATAACTAATTCCTTACATTTGGTGATATTAGGAATACATAGAATTTAATACCATTGTTTAATCTATGTAACGAAAAAAATACCCCTCAACCCCTTTTAAGGGGTTTATTTGTTTTCTACATTTTCTATTATATGTATTTATTAGTAAATTTATTTAAATAGGAAATATTACAAGTTTTATTATTTAGAGAGAGTTGTATGTGGTTAATAAATTCAATAAAAATCAAATAGTTAAAAATAAGCTTAGAAACTAAAAATATTCATTTTTGGGAAGAAAGTGAAAACTCTGGAAAATTTGTTTAAGTTAAGAAAGTGAATTGTCCTTTTCAAATAGCCATAAGTTTTAGCTCAGGATGAGTTAGATGTAGTTATTGATATAGTTGAAAATACCTTGGAAATATTTTTTCAACACCACCGAATTTGCACATTTGTGATATCGTATGAGAGAGATATGCTTATCGGCAGTTTGGTTGCTAAATTAAGGAAAGCCCGAATACGTATTAAAAGAGGAAAAACTAGCCTTTTAACCAATTAATTTTCTATTTTGTTTTTACCAGTTTATTGGGGTAAAAACAAGTTTTAGTTTCAGTTTGGAAAACTAGAATTTACACTTGAGGTTTGGAGAAGAGAGAAAGGGAGAGAAGTCAAAGAATTCGCCTAGAATGTCAAGATATGAGAGTGGAATTTGTCAGGAGTGATCCCAATCAAAGTATGTAAGATCTTTAAGTATTGGAAGTTCACCCACACATTAAACTTGTTTCAATGTACTGATTTTAGAATTGGTTGAATGAGAATAGTGAAGTTCTTGAAGAACATTGTTGAATTCCTGTTGGTTGAGTTGTTGAATGCATATTGTTACTTTTTCATAATTACGGGTTGATTTTCAAGTAAGATCTATTGATTATTTACTGTACTAATGATCCTAAGGGATTGGGAAAAGAACTATGGAGGGTTAAGAGGTTCAACTTTGAAAAACGAGAGGAGAAAGTCGTCTGACGAACCTGTGAAGAAGTGGTGTGCCCCATCTGTGCCAAATGTCCTGGGCGGCGGTGCCTTCAGTGCAGCAATATTAGGGCTCTAAACTTGAGGCCTTGCGGCGCAAGCCCTAGATGCGCCTGAATGGGTGTTTTTCACCTAATTTTCGTAGTTTAGCCTGTTTAAGTATTTTAAAGTGTATTAAGACTTTCTAGTGATTTTATTTACTTAAAATAATTTTAAACAAGTAGGAATCAATAAATACGTGAATCATAACTTTGAATTTGTAATTTCATTCAAGGTAATTTAAGATCAATGTCAAAGGAGATAAGAGTCAAGTCTTAAAGGTAAGAAGAAAGTAAAAGAAAATATCTTAAAGGTTGCAAGAGTATTCACCAATGTTTAACTTTGTTTTTATGACTGATGTTTTAAGATAAGTAAAGAATAAAAGATTTGAGTTCATTTCTCAAAAGATATAAGGGAACTATGTACTTCCAAAAAGCTTATAAATGTTTTCACATTTAAGACAAAAAGTACGAAGAGTTCCGAAAGAGTTTTGAGCAAGAAAAGGGAACATTGATTCCAATAAAGTTTTTTAAAGCTAAGTGTTGAGAAATTCTCTCAATCCAAAGAAAAAAGTTATTTTAAAACATATGACCTATGTATATATTTTTTAGAGTAGTATTGAGCACCGATATGGGGATTAGAGTTCATAATAACTCAAGTCATCATAAAACATGTTTTCATCATTGATATTAATGGTCATACTTTTTAAATGATCACATAAATTAAGCTAGTTGATCCACTAAGTTAATTAGTTCTATGAGACGACATAATATAGGACGATTCTGGCAGCTTGAGCTAGACGTTGTATCACCACATAGGCTCATAGTGGTGGTTGTCGGTTAAAGAATTTCCCACAGAAAACTATATCATTTCAAATATAAGTAAAGTGAGTTTGCTAATGCATTTCTTTAACTAACTAAGTGTTTTCATTGTTTTTCAAGCTTTTACATATTAAGTCAACTTATTTATGTGTTGAGCACAGCCAAGGTAAGTGTTCCTTCTTACTCTTTTTCAAGATTAAGTTGGGGTTAGCATTCCAACTCGCATACTCGTACATTCAATGTACTGATGCCAGTTGACCAGCATTGTATCATGATTCAGATGCAGGTAACAAGGATCAACATCATCTAGTGCCTCGCTAATGCAACTAAGCTCTCAGAGTAAGTGGTGAGCCTCCTTGCATTCTGAAGGACACATTTGTTCGATTTTAAGTCTTTCTTTTATAGGATGTTGTGGGTTCTATCCCAACATCCATCTTATTATTAAAAATGCTTCATTTACAGTGAGAGAGTTAGTATTAAGTCTCTGATATTTGTATTGCATAGTTTTATGATGAGACTTACGTGCCATTTTACCCAACTTGTTTCATTAAGTTATTGAATGAGATTGTTTTATTCGTTACGTCTTCCGTTGAGTTATGTAAGTCAGGACAAGGATCCGCTTGAGGCAAGCAATGGTCTACGAGGGCTGGCCACGCCTAGGGTATAGACTCGGTGCATGACAAACTTGGTATAGAGCATAGAGTTCAAGATTTCTAGGGAGTCTATGAAGTCGTGTCTATAGAGTCCTAGTTATCGGTGTTATGCGCACTACATCAATAATCAAGAGGTTGAAACATTTAGGAATCCTCACTTCTTTCATATTTCTTTCTGTGTGTTAGAGTTTATCTCTAAATGCTTCTTTACAATTCATGCTTGCGCATGTTTAAGATAACGTGCCTCCACGAAGAGAAGCAAGAGGCGGCTCAGCTAGAAAGAATGCAGAGGAACCAGAGATACCTAATGCAGCTAATGTGCATCCACAATCCGAGGTCACTATTGCATAATTTTGTGAGGCTATATGGATGCTAATCTGTGTGGTACCTAATAAAGTTTGTAAGCATAGAGGGGATACACAAGAGGAGACTGAAACTTCAAGGAATCCTGAATTCTTGAGAATGAATCGTCCAAGTTTCGCCGGTTTGATCACTACTAAAAAGCCTAAGAATTTTATTGAGGAACTGAAGAAGGTTTTTGATGTAATGCATGTTGCTGATGTTGAACGAGTTGAGCTAACTCCATATCAGCTGAAATATATGGCTAGGCCTTAGTTCGATCAGCGGAACGATGGTAAACCTTAGCATGCACCACATCCGAGTTGCGCCTCTTTTGAAGAAGATTATTTAGAGCGTTTCTCTCCTTTGGAGTTCAAAACACTCTATGGTACGATAGTTTCTTACAGTGAAACAAGACTCATTGAATGTTCATCAATATGTGTTAAAGTTCACCCAGTTGTCTCTTTATGCTCCTAAAATGTTTAAGTAATGAGGAGCAGAATAAGCTTGTTTGTCGTTGGCCTTGGTCATGGATCAAGCAAAGAGGGTAGGGATGCGATGCTTATGAGCGACATGGTATCAAGGTTTATTATAGAAGCAAGAAAGGTAAGACTTGAAATGTATCTGGGCAGCAGGAAGTTTGTACGAATCAGCGACAATGGCAGAATCAAAAGGATCCTGCACCATCATCCTCTAGTGCTCCTGCACCTAGAAGACAAAGTTAGGATAATGGCAAGAATTCCCAGTACTATAGAGTTAGACCAGCAAAATCTCAAGGAAGTGTGGCACATAGAGGTAGTTGAGGTCTTGCATGTGCTAAGTGTGGTAGAACCCACAAAGGTAAATGTCTTGATGGCCTGACAGGTTGCTTTAAGTGTGGGTAAGAGGGTCATTTCATGAAGGAGTTCCCAAAGAACATGCAGAGTAGTGGAAATCCAGGCAAAAAATCCCAATGTTCATCAGTTGCTCGACAAGAAAGGGTTGCACCTAGAGGAGCAACTACTTGCATTAACGGAGGGGCAAACTGCCTTTATTCAATCACTACCCGCCAAGAGCAAGAGAACTCTATAAATGTTGTCACTAGTATGATCAAAATCTTTATTTTTTATGTTTTTGCTTTGTTAAACCCAGGACAATTTTTTTTGTAACTTCTTATGTTGCAAATAAGTTTGAAATACTTTCAGAGAAACTTTGTGAACCCTTTTGTGTTTCAACACCTGTTGGGGAGTCTATTCTACCGAAAAGAGTCTATCGTGATTGTCCAATATCTATCAATCACGAAAACACCATGTTCACCTAGAAGAGTTAGACGTGGTAGATTTTGATGTCACAGTAGTTATGGACTAGCTTCATGTCTGTTATGCCTCAAAAGATATTAGAACTCGAGCTTTTAAGTTTTTGATTCCTAATAATCCACTTATAGAGTGGAGAAGTAGTTCAGTAGTTACTAAGGATCGTTTCATTTAATACCTCAAGGCAAGAAAGTTTGTTCTAGAGGGATGTATCTATCACTTAGTACTAATTAATGACTCAAGTGCTGAGGTACCTTCCCTTCAATCAGTTCCTATAGTAAGAGAGTTTCCAAAAGTTTTTTATAATGATATACCCAGAGTCCCTCCTGAGAGAGAAATAGACTTTGGCATAGACATCATTCAGATACTCATCCTATATCTATTCCTCCATATAGAATGGCACAAGTAGAATTGAAATAATAGTTCAAAGATCTGTTAGATAAGGGTTTCATTCGACCAAGTGTCTCACCTTAGGGTGATCAGGTCTTGTTTGTGAGAAAGAAATATGGTTCCTTTAGGATGTGTATATACTACAGTCAATTCAATAAGGTTACAATCAAGAATAAGTATTCTTTTGTAAGGATAGATTATCTATTCGATTAACTTCAAGGTGCCACCTTTTTTTCAAAAATAAGCCTCGAATTTGGCTACCATTGTTGAAAGTTAGGGAATGTGACATTCAGAAGACAACTTTCAAAACCAAATATAGGAATTATGAGTTTTTTTGTCATATTATTTAGTTTAACTATTGCACCAACAACGTTCATGGACCTTATGAATAGAGTCATCACTAACGACATACTAAACTATTCATGGAATGAAGAAGATAATGCTAGTTACCTAAGGAAATTCCTTCGGGCTTTGAAAGATAAAGATTTATCTGTGAAATTCTCCAAGTGTTAGTTTTGGCTTAAGTTTGTGTCATTCTTTGTCCATATAGTTTCCGGTGATGGAATTAGAGTGGATACCCAAAAGATCGAAGCAGTTAAGAGTTTTCCTAGACCTACGTCTCCAACTGATATTAGGAGTTTGTTGGATTTGTCTTGTTATTACAGAATGTTTGTTGAGGGGTTTTCATCTATCTCATCTCCTTTAGCCAAGATGACTCAGAAGACAGTTAAGTTTCAATTATGTTAAGCTTGTGATAAAAACATTCAAGAATTGATAAAGTGGCTGACTGCTACCCCAGTTTTGACCTTACCAAAAAGTACTCAAGGATTTGTGGTGTACTGTGATGCATGTAGAGTTGGGTTGGCATGTGTGTTTATGCATAATGCCAAGGTTGTAGTTTATTACTCCAGACTGTTGAAAGTTCATGAGAAGAATTATCCAACCCATGATTTAGAATTGGCTGGAGTTGTTTTTGCTTTGAAGATATAGAGGAATTACTTGTATGATGTTCATGTCGATATATTTATTGATCACAAGAGATTAGAATATGTGTTTACCAAGAAATATCTCAATCTCAGACAAAGGAGGTGGTTAAAACTACTCAAGGATTATAACATGAATATGAATTACAACTCAAGTATGGCTAATGTGGTTGTTGATTCTTTAAGAACGTTATATATGGGGAGTATCTCCCATGTTGAGGAAGTAAAAATGGAGTTTGCCAAAGATATGAATATACTTGCACACTTAGGAGTCAGACTTATATATTCCATAGAATGAGGGATAGTGGTAAAAAATGGGACTGAATCCTCACTAGTGTAAGAGGTGAAACTTAAACAATACCAAGACCCTATTTCGCTTGATTTGAAGGCAAATTCTCATAAGCAAAGAGTATTAGCTTTTGCACAATGGGGAGATGATGTGTTTGAGTATTAGGGTAGGTTATTTGTACCAATGGTAGATGGGATCCAAGAGAGAGTCATGGAGGAAGCTCATAGCTCCATATATTCTATCCATTTGAGTTCCACAATGATGTACTACGATTTGAGAGAAGTGGAATGGTATGAAGAAGGGTAATGCTGAATTTGGTGCCAAGTGTCCAAATTGCCAGCAAGTTAAAGTTGAACACTAAAGGCATGGGGATTTGGCGTAGAGTAATTCAACTTCCAAAATGAAAGTGGGAGATGATTAACATAGATTTCATCATACGCTTTCCAAGGTCTCGTAGGAAGCATGATTAAATTTGGGTGATTGTCTCTAGGATGATAAAATTTGTCAAGTTTTTGCTTGTAAAAACTAGTTATTTTGTAGAGGATTATGAAAAGTTATACATTCAGGTGGTGGTGATACTTCATGGAGTCCAAAGGTCGATCATTCATATAGAGGTGCATAATCTACTGCACAGTTCTGGAAATATTTCTTGAATGGTTTGGCTTCAAAGGTAAAATTAAGCACTGCTTTTCATCCTCAGATAGATGGGAAAGCAGAGGGTACTATTCTGACCTAAGAAGATATGTTTAGGTCTTACATGATTGATTCAAAGTGAATTGGGATGATCACCCACCTCTTATTGAGTTCGCTTACAATGACAGTTATCATTCGACCATCCAAATGGCTTCATAGGATGCTCTTTATGGGAGAAGATGTGTATCTACTATTAGGTGGTTTGATGTTTTTGAAGCAGGGTTGATAGGAAATGATCTAGTTTACCAAGCTATGGAGTAGGTGAAGGTGATTCAAGAGAGATTGGAAATGGCACAGGGTCATCATAAATCCTACAGAGATGTTAGGAGAAGGCTGATGGAGTATGAGGTGGATGATTGGGTATACTTAAAAGTTTAACCCATGAATGGTGTGACAAGGTTTGGTAAGAAGGGTTAACTTATTCCCAGGTATATTGGACCTTATCGTAAAGCCAAAAGGACTGGAAATGTAGCTTATGAGTTAGATATTCCACAAGAGTTAGCAGCAGTTCATCTAGTGTTCCACATCTCTATGTTAAAGAAATGCATAGCCGATCCTTCATTTATCGTACTAACTTAAAATGTTGGGATTAAGCATATCTTATCCTATAGGAGATTCAGGTTCAGAGTTTAGATCGCCAAGTTCGCATGTTATGAACAAAGGAGTTTTCATTAGTCAAGGTCGTTTGGAGGAGCCAACTTTTTATAAAGACTACTTGAAAAGCTAAAAAGGATATGCAAAGGAGATATCCAATCTCTTTGAATCCAAAGAAGATGAAAAGCAAGGTACTAATTCTCTTCTTAGTATTTTATAAAGTATTAGTAAGTTTGTGGTTACTTGATTTTTTTGTTGAGTGTTGAACTTGATGTTACAATCCCTGGCTAAGTGAAAGAAATCTCATTCGAGGATGAATGTTCACATAGGAGAGATGTTGTAACATCTCACAATTTGAAATAGCTAAGAAATTAAAAATATTTTTTTTGGGAAGGAAAAATTAGGAAAATATTCTAAGTTAAGAAAGTGAATATTGGTCATTTTCAAATGGTCATAACATCTAGATTAATATAAGTTAGAGGTATTTCTTGATATGTTTGGGAATCCCTTGTAAATATATTTCCAACAACACCGAGTTTTTGCATTTTCGATATCGTATGAGTGAGATATGCCTATCAAATGTTGGATTGTTGAATTGAGGAAAGTCCAAATTCGAATTTAAGGAAGGACAAACTAGTCTTTTAACAAATTAATTTCCTATTTCATTTTTAGAGATTTATTGGGGTAAAAACAAGTCTTAGTTCAGTATGGAAAATTATACTTACGCTTAGGGCTTGGAGAAGAGAGAAAAGAAGAGAAAAGGGGAGAGAGGTCAAGGAATTCTCCAAGAACGTCAAGATTTGCGAGTGGAAATTGTCCGGGGTGATCCCTATCAAGTATATGTGATACTTCAGTATTGGTTCAGTTCACCAACACACAAATATTGATTCAACTCTGTTATTTTTTATTTGGTTGAATGAGAAGAGTGATGTTGTTGAAGAACATTGTTGAATTCATATTGTTTGAGTTGTTGAATGATATTTTTGTTTTATTCATAATTTTAAGTTAGAACTATCGGGTATTGAAGGTTCTAACAATCCTATGTTTTTGGAAAAATTACTATGGAGTTTGTGTTAAAAACTAGAGGAGAAAGTCGTCAGACGCACCCGGGCAAAGCCCGGAATGTTGCACCTCATTTGCGCTAGACGGACGGGGCGGCACCCTTGTAGTGTGCCTGAATGAGGCCTCTAAACTTAAGACCAGGAGTGGCACGTCCCAGATACACTTGAATCGTCGTTTTTCAGCCAGTTTTTGTAGTTTAACCTAGTTAAGTCCTTCGAAAGTGTATTAACACTTTCAAGTGATACAAACTACTTACAATGATTTATAAAAATGCAAATAATAACCTTGAATTCATGATTTCATTCAAGGGAAGTAACATCAAAACCAAAGGAGTTAAAAGTCAAGTAAAAAATTTAAGAAACAAGTCAAAGAAAAGTTCTTGCAGGTTTCCAAGAGTCTAACAATATCTAAATTTGTTTTAAAGAATAATGTATTAAGATAAATAAAGAGTAAAAGAGTTGAGTTCATTTCTCAAAAGTTATAAGGAAACTATGTATTTCCCAAAAGTATATAAATTTTTTCACATTTAAGACAAAAAGGAAACTAAGAGTTCAAAAAGATTTTTGAGCAAGAAAGGGAACATGATTCGAAGAGACATTTTTAAAATAAGTGTTTAGCAATTATCTCAAACCAAAAGAAAGAAGTTGTTTTAAAAACATATGAGTTTTATATGTTTATAGGAGTAGTATTGACCATTGATATGGGGATGTGAGTTCATATTAACTCAAGTCTCAATAAACCATGTAGCCATCATGGGTATTAATGTGTAATACTTCTTAAATGATCACATAAGTTAAGCTAATGGATGAAATAAGTTAAGTAGTTCTATGCGACGACAAAGTATAGAACAATTAGTAGCATGGGAAAGACGTTGTATCACCACATAGGCTCATGGTGGTGGTTTTTGGTTAAAGAATCTCCCATAGTAAACTATATTATTTCATATATAAGTGATGTGAGTTTGCTATTGTATTTCTTTAACGAACTAAGTGTTTTGATTGTTTTACAAGCTTTTACATATTGTATGTGTGTTATTGCTTTATATAAAATGAGTTATTCATTAGTTGAGCAGAGCCAATGTAGGTATTCCTTCTTACTCCTTTTCAAGCTTAAGTTGTTGTTAGCATTCCGACTCGCATACTTGTACATTCAATATATTGATGCCAGTTTGCCTGCATCGTCTGATAATGCAGACGCAATTAACCAATCTTAGCATCATCGAACGCCTCGTTGATCTGAATGAGCACTCGTTGTCAGTGGTGAGACTTTTTACATTCTGGAGAACAAATTTATTTGCTTTTCAGTCTTTCTTTTATAGGATATTGTGGGGTCTATCCCAACATCCATTTAAGTATTATAGAGGCTTCATAGACAGTCAGACAATCAGTATTGAGTGTCTCATATTTCTATTGCAGATTTTTTGTTACGAGAATTAAGTACCATTTTGAGCAACTTATTTCTTTAAGTTATTGAATGAGGTTATTTTATTTATGAGACTATTTTTATTTAGTTAAGTCTTTCATTGAGTTAAGTAAGCAAGGCAAAGGGTCCGCTTGAGGCCAGCAAAGGTTTTCGAGTTACGACAACGCCCAGGGTGTAGGCTTGTGGCGTGACATATATATTACCTGACATATATATTACCTTAAAAGCATGAACTCCTAACTTGATTGTTAAATTAATATAATATATCTATCTTAGTTGTGACATTTTTTATGACTTGTGACTTTTTTGATAAGTTGTGTCTTTTTTCGAAGGGTTGTGATTTTTTGATGAGTTGTAAGTTTCCCAAAGAGTTATGACTCTTTTTCATACTTTGTGACTTTTCCTCAGTATTGTTACTTCTTTGTGACTTCTCAATAATGTGATGATTTTTCAGACAACATTTTTTTTTTCATATCTTCTACTCTTCTTCTTCTTCTTGCATTATAAATTTTTTCTTGTGATTTATTGTAGTTGAGTGAGTCCAAAGCTTAGCAGAATATGTGGTACCATTATTCTAATAAAGTAAGTAGTTCTATCCTAGAGGGTTTATTTCATAACCTATATTACTTTAGGAAAATAACATATTTTTATGATATAATAATTATTTTTTGATAAATATATACATTAGTATGTAATGTTTCAAT